TTTTTTTTTTATAATTATAGTTACAGACTTTGCTAAAAGAACTGGCGATTATACCAGTTTATCAGCCACTGATATAAAAGTAATTGCTTTAACATATCAGTTAGAAAAAGAGAAAGTAGGAACAAATCATCTAAGAACTGAACCAACTGTGACACAAACTGTAGATTACAGTATTGAGAAATCTAAGGAGCTTTATGCACCTTTAGCTGGTTTCTATATATCACAAAAAAAAGTAAATGTATTTTCATTTAGTTTAGCATAGCAATTTATTATATTAAATGATTAATATAATAATCAAAAAATGTTCAATACACAGGAAGATATTGATGAAGAAAGCACAGGGAAATCAGGACAGCAAAAATATTCAGAAGATAATAGTAACAAAAAGTTACAAACAAATTTGGAGAACAATATAAAGAATGTTGACTGCGAAGAGGAGGAAAAGAATGAATCTTGCTCCAATGATTCTTCTAATGTTATTGAATCTGATTATGACACATCACATTCTCATGTATATCAGCATGGAGCAGAAGATTTGTCTACCAAATTTTCAGTATTAACTTGTGAACCAACAGAATTTATAGTTGAGGATAAAAATAATATTGAACATAATGTTAATGATATTCTTATTCCTATTAAAAAAAACATTGATGATAAAGAAGATGAATATAATAAGTATGAGGATAATGAAAGTGACAATGATGATGATGATGATGATGATGATGATAATGATGATAAAGATAATGGTTGGATTACACCAGGTATGATCTATATTTTATAAATAAAGTAACTACATATATGAAATGAAAATTGTTTATTTTATTTTAGGAAATATTTGTAATGTAAAGAAAGAACTTGATTCAGACTTTCTTGAACAAAAACCTGCAACAGTTGCATGTTTAACAATGGATTTTGCTATGCAAAATGTGTTAAAACAAATTGGATTAAATGTAGTTGCATTAGATGGAAGATTAATTAAACAAATGCGAACGTTTGTTTTAAGATGTTATGCATGTTGCAAAACTACCAGTATCATGACAAAAGTTTTCTGCCCATATTGTGGCCATAAAACATTGAAAAAGGTAGCAGTCACATTGAATGAAGAAGGGAAACAACAAATTCATATCAATTTTCGAAGACAAATTTCAAAAAAAGGAAAAAGAGTAGGATTTTTATTTTTTCTTCTTTTTTTTTTACGAAATAGATATTTTCATATTGTAATCTATATACAAATTTTGAAATTTTCTAGTTTTCATTGCCAATGCCAAAAGGTGGAAAACATGCATGTAATCCTATTCTTTGTGAAGATCAACCAATTCCCGATCAAAGGCCGTCAAGATTAGCACGTATCAAGAATGATCCTTTACAAGATGATTATATAGCTGGTTATTCTCCCTTCATCATGCGCGACGTTTATTCTAAATCAGCTATGTTGGGTATACGGCCAGGTGGTTCAGTTAAATATTGGATGAGAAAAAATCCAAATGAATCTAGGAAAAGAAGAAAATAATAATTATATTTACATGTGTATAT